ATTAAATAAATCAAGGAAGTGAGATTTAATAGATAAAGGGGATTAATTAGCGAAGGGGGATTTATTAAGTAAAAGGGTTTAGGTGAAAAATTAGAAGAATCGAATTAAATAGAGGAATGAGATTAATGTAATTAAATAAGTCAGAGTTAGAAAGATAATATAAATAAAGGCCAAAATGGCCCTTAGAAGGAGAATGTGCAGTTTGCTTTATTAATAAACAAGTCCTAACACATTATATCGTCCATTATAAAACCCTAACACTAATACCGTTATAAACCCAATAACCATCGTTGTTCGTTCAAGTTATTGTTCACGTGACTTACCTACTGACCTTCGTTGAATCCAGGTAACCGAAAGCCTTAATCACCCACCAGCTAAATCTAACACCCTCTTTCGAAAAGGTTACCTAACGTTGGTTGCAAGAGAATTTGGATTGTGGGGCAACCAAGTCACCAGATTCCGCCTACGACAATAGGAAATCAGGGTCCCTACTAGTGCTCCGATCGGGTTGACCCGAATGACCCGAAACCAACCGGTTATAATAAATTTATTAGATGGGTTATGACCTATATAGTAAATTCATTATAACCGGGTTGGTTTCGGGTCATTCGGGTCAACCCGATCGGAGCACTAGTCCCTACACTATCTCCTGGAACTGGTATATTTGGTTCACTATTTACAGTTATTAATTTCTCCGATAAGATACATTTCCATCTATAAAAATCCCATCAAGGTGAGTCATGTGCCAGATTTATATAAATGAATACCATGGCCAAATGGCATTTATAAGTATTTCTGGAAATATTTCATAATCTGTATTTCTTACATCGCTAATGGCTCAACTTTGTTATTTATTACATGAATTAAGACAAAATCATATGTTTATTCCACGGTTTATAAAAAAAAACCATTTAATTGAAAATCTTTAGTAAAATAATGTCCCGCAGTTACAATGTAATTTATATTTAGATTCGATCCATTTCTTCCTCATAATCCTGCAAAACAAAATGACCTTTCTTCCTTATTATATAGGCCATCTTCACCCAAGAACTTGACTTTTATATAACACACATCAAAGTTACTGTCAATACCGGCAACTTTACTATCAACTTGACCTTGACGTTTAGAAATATGTGGATTTTCCTGAGTCAAGTATAATCGTATTATACAGTATTGTTCAATTGCAACATAATTTTATGCATTTATGATCAACTAAAATTGTAAAAGTAAAAAACAATTTTAATCCAATTTAATTGCAAATAATGACAATTAATTGCAATTTTTACCTTTAATTAAATTTCGGAATAAATATCCGTTTCTTTTTTCTTGATTATCAGCTGTGATCTGGAAGAACATAAATTACAATGATGTTTAGCATCATTTGAGGGTATAAAAAAAGGTATCTTCTGATATTATTCGGAACATAATTTACACTGATGATTGCCGTCATTTGAAAGTCTAAAACGAGCATCATTTTGATTATAGGTTGTGATCTGAAAGAACTTAAATTACACTAATCGTAATGTCTACCGTCATTTGAAGTTCTAAAAATAGCATCTTTTTTGATTATCAGTTATGTTCTGGAAGAAGGTTAAAAAAAGGTATTTATGTAGCATTTATTCGGAACTTTGCCATTTGTTGGAACTGAATTAAAAATAAAAAAGAATTAAAATGTTATACTATATATGTGTCTTTGTAGAGGCATGCAAATGTGGTTTGCTCAATTTGTAAAAGTCAATTTTTGACGTCAAAGATCAGCAGATATACACAACCGTCAACTGATCCTTCACCCGTTGTGCAACATATTAAAAAATTATTTTACAAGACCAGATCATTCTGCTAGTAGTAATCAATTTAAAAACTACCTAGCTTTAGAAGACCTCTATTTAAAGTAGATATCGGATATTGTAACAGCCAATCAAACGTATTTATTTTATATATTAATTAATCACGTGGTCGGGTAGACCTGCATGTTGGTTCCAATCGATTAGTTGCCAACTATAGTTGCAACTAAACAATTTTTCCTATCATATGACTAAATTTGTTGATTGGCCAATCAAACTAAAGAATTCAACACGAACCAGCCCGAATTGACGGAATATATTGTAATTTAACTAGTTGATGATTCAATTGACTAGTTGTTTCAAAATTTTCCAAATCGATTAGTTGAAAAGTTGTCAATTAGTTGGTTTTTCAACTAACGATTTGGACTACTACCTGCGTGACAAACGTCAAATTTTGCTAATAACCTCTGGTATGTGAATTGCCACGGTCACAACATTTCACGTGCTTATGTGCTTATGGCACAACAATGGCTGGCATTACTAAAATACACGCTAACTTAACTCGGGTCAATGTTGTACTTATAAGTCACGTAAAATGGTGTGCTCCGCAAAACATTCATTTTTGATACTTCCACACTATGGTTGTTAAGCGAAACCTGGCGAAATTGGTGAAACATAGCAAAATTGACCCGGCAGATTCTCGATTTGGTTGGCTAAGATGTGAGAATCAAAAAATTTGGCTGGATTACTCAAAATTTTACTAATGAAATCACAGCTTCCAATTAATTAAAAAGTGTTCCTAAGCAAATTTTACTATTTCGTGGATTTATTTCTTTGAAAATTTATATTTTGAGAATAAAAAAGTTAAAAAGTTAATTCCGGCCAGAAATTAGTAAACAGTTATGTAATGTGGGCCAAAATTTTGCAGATCCACGCCCGTTAGCCAATCAAAATCGAGGATCTGAC